GTCATCTTAGTTTAGTCTTGATTACTTGGCTGCGTTACAATACAACTACAGTTGCCTCCAGATACGTAGCATCTGCACGGATCCAGCACAAACAAATTCAGCATTTAAACCAAACCTAAGAATACGACTCCAATCCATGTAGTTCATATGCCAGGCCCGTATGTGGTGCTGTGTCAACCACACTCACATACTAACACCAAAAAACAAAAACAAAAAAAAAACAAAAAAAAAACCTGTAGCTGGAGCTCAGAAAACCAGAAAAGAAGCCACAGCGCATGTGCATAAAGCTTGCAAACTGTACACAAACTCAAAAAAGAAACACAAAGAGTTTTGCCAGTGCCTTAGCCTTCAACTTACATTGAGGAAAGAGAACAGAATAAAAAAATACGGGCAGGTTGTGTTCCTGCAGATAAATATATCTCACATGATCACTTTTTCAATACTTCAAAACGATTCATTTATTTTTGCATATATATTTTGAAATTCATGCATACTCCGTCATAAATGTAAAACAGTAAAAAAAAAAAAAATCAGTGCCAGTTCAAGACAAATTACTACTGATTAGTCCTTCAACTCCTGTTGGTATGAGGCAGCATTTTAAGCAACACCGATCTAAAATATCTGATCTAAAATGTCTTGTTGGCATGAGGCAGCATTTTAAGCAACACTCATCTAAAATATCTGATCTAAAATGTCTTTTTCAACAATACTGGAATAGTAATATTATGCAATTTTGTGTTTTCAGACAGAACTCAAAAGCAATCGCTTTCCATGTGTCATGTGCAGCACTGCCCATGTGACTCAATCACGTGACTCCTCCATCTGTGACCCAGTCACATGACGTGAGTCAGTCATCTGTAGTGCTAACCACTATGATCTTCACAAGGCCTAACACGATATTTTATTACATTTCGAGAGAGATTTAAACAGTCACCTAACAGTGTCTAAAGAGAAAATTAGACGTTTTTTAAAACGTTCAACTGGCGATTTATAAAGCATCTTAACTGTGTTTCATTCATATTGTATGACTATCAACCCAGTCAGCTGACTGGCATCTATGCTAACTAATCCACTGCGTCCCTGACATTTAGCTGCGCCTCAAACCGTATTTTTAGTTGTTTTGTCTACGCGTCCGTGCTGTAATATGAATACACATTCGTTATGTGTCGACACTGGTAACCTTCAGTGTGACTAAATGGATTTAATGATTGAAGGACATCTGCATCACCGATGCTGCTAACAGCTGCTATGTTTGGTTATACTGCAGTTTGGGGACGAGAAACGGAGCTTGTCTTGTATATTTTTTGGAAGAAAAACACACAGAACGGAGCTTGTCTTGTATGTATATTTTTTGGAAGAAAAACACACATTATTATCATGCCCTCCTCCCCTCTCCCCCCCCATTGTTTCTGCACCACCGAAAGCACAATTACATTGTTTGCAAATGGCTATCGCTACATACGTCTGCTAACGACACTTACTTAGCCTGGGCTGAGAGATGTAGTTCCTGGTTACTGCCTGAGTGTGAGTCCGTGCTGCCGCCGCCAAACCTTTCACGTCCATCGCCCTGTTTGCCACCATAGTTGCCATGGTCAACTTAAAAGTGAAAATCTTAATAACACAAGACTGTGTGCTTTAACAAGAGCTGCTGGATAGAGGTTGACAGCAGTGCTGGTCATATGACACGGAGGAACCGGATGTTAGAGAAAGAGAGGATGGGCTTGAGGAGCATATACCGGACGCTAATAAATCCTGTAAATTAATGGGTTTTTTTTTTTAGATGTCAAATTATAAACGTAAATGTATTTATGAGTAAAGATTTGATAAATTCGACTTAATATAAATATAACTAGAAAAACTTTAATTCAGTTTTAAATATTGGTCTTGTTTATTGACGTCAAGCGTGCGCGCGCGCGGATGCACACACCTTAAATGGTCAAAATATGACGTAACAGGGCTGCTCATTTTCATTATAGATATTTCTGACGTAACTCCTCGTATATCCGTTTTTGATTTTGTATTTACTTAAACACTTATTTCTGTCTAACTGGGTATATAATATTTTATTTTTTTATTTATTATTTATTGTACTCCCGTTTTGTCTTTTTACATTTCAATGTAATGTCTGACTTGTTACGAAAGAGACCTGAGTGTTTAGAAACTCATGTCTGTTTAGAAAAAATGTTTCTGTTTGGAAAAGGATTATCCTTCTGAACAAGGATTGGTGTTATTGTAAAACAACTGATATTATTTCACTTTTTGTTATTATTTTTTTTAAATAAATTAAATAATAAATAATAATTATTAACTAATTATTATTATTATTATTATTTTTTAAATACACAGAAGTCTTTAACACCAGAGATAATGGAAATTAAATTCAGGGTTTACAACAAAATGAATGCAAAGCAATTTGTTTACAACAGAACAAAGAGGGACGTTGCATCTCCCTGTTTGCCTATTTTTGTGAATATAAAAACAATGCAAATGTCACAAAGGTTAGTTTTGATTAAGCTTAACGCAGGAATACACGCATGGTGTGATCAAAGGGTACATTTGGGAGTCACACAATCAGTGGACTTAACTCCAGCTAGAAAAAAAAAAAAAAAAATCT